ACCATGGATCCCCTGTTTCACAGTCCCTGCTCCAGAGTCAACCACAGGAGGTAGGTACGGCTTCTTAGAAACACATCATCCATTAGAGAAATCAACATTTAGCCCCAGCCTCCTGAAATACAGAGGCTCAGATACTGTCATATCCAGAATTATATTCCTGACACTGTCCATGTTCATTTGGAAAAACGAATGCAGTCTTAGTTCTATGAAGATACAGAATTACCGACAGACATGAAAGAAAATATAAGAATCGTACTTTTCAAGACAGATTATCTTCATACGATAGCCTTCAGACATTTAAGTTAGTAAAATAGCATTCTATAAGCTGTAAGTTTAGAGGTGCTTTGCAGTCTCTTTTCTTAAATAGTGGACTCCCTGCTAAACAACTCTCAAAGAGAAAAATAGGCTTGAGAAAAACACGTTATTCCAAAAAACTTTTTGAGAAAGACAATATACCTGCCCTAACAAAATGTATTACAAAGCTACAATAATAAAAACAGTGCAATACTGACATTGGTGCCAACAGAAATATTCATGGAAGAGGATAGAAAATTTGGAAAGAGACCCAATCAGTGCATGATAAAGTGAGCATTTCAAATAAGTGAGTAAATGATGGATTATCCACTAAAAGGTCCTGAGATAACTAGTGTTAATATCAAAAACAAATGGAGACTGGGGCACCTTGGTGGCTCAGTCGGTTAAGTAGCCAACTCTTGATTTCGGCTGAGGTCATGATCTCAGGGTCCTGGGACAGAGCCCTGCATCAGGCTCCACACTCAGTGGGGAGTCTGCTTGAGATTCTCTCTCTCCCTCTCCCCCTGCCCCTGCTCATGCTCATGCTCACTCTCTCTCTCTCTCTCTCTTTCTCTCTCTCAAATTTAAAAAAAAAAAGGGTTGCCTGGGTGGCTCAGTGGGTTAAGTGTCTGCCTTCGGCTCAGGTCATGATCCCAGGGTCCTGGGATCCAGCCCCAAGTGGGGCCCCCTGCTCAGCAGGGAGCCTGATTCTCCCTCTCCCTCTGCTTCTCACCTGCTTGTACTCTTTCACTCTGTCAAATAAATAAAAATTTTTTTAATTAAATTAAATTTAATTTAATTTAAAAAACAAGTGGAGACAAGCCTTAAAAATTATTTTTTAACCAAAATATTTAACCAAAACGACAAAACCAGTTTAGTCATACAAACAAAACCTAATTTAGCTTCTTTGGCAAGGCTAACTTGACCTGGGTCATCTCTTGCTTATGTCTCTGGAAATCATAAGCAAAACCTCAAGTGTTTTCGAAAACTGATATGAAGTAAACATTGCCCCTGAGCCTCATTCCATGTTTTGGCTTTAGTGTTCCCAGTTTGCAAGCTGCCTTTTTGATGTGTGCACAATAAACTTTTACTAATTACTACTTTGGTGATTCATTGATTTTATTTCTGTTATTTATGATCTTTTGATGCTAGCTAACAAATTGGGGGGAAAAAAACCACCAAATCAACTCCCTACTTCATATATCACAACAAAATGAGTTCTAAGCAGATTAACATTTTAATTTTTTTCATAAAAAATAACTATACTAAAGGAAAACACAGGTACGTTTTTTAAAAAAGATTTTCTTTACTTTAGTGAGTGAGTGAGAAGACAGCACAAGCCAGGGGAGGGGGAGAGGGAGAAGCAGACTCCCCGCTGAGCAGGGAGCCTAACATGGGGCTCAATCACGGGATCAAGGATCATGATCTGAGCTGAAGGCAGATACTTAACCGGCTGAGCCACTCAGGCGCCCAACACAGGTACATTTTTATGTCATCTTATATTGGAAAAGAGCTTTTTAAGCAGAGCAACAATGAAAAGAAATGAAATGACTGATTTAGCTAAATAAAAAAAAAATATTGGGATGCCTGGGTGGCTCAATCAGTTAAGCGTCTGCCTTTGGCTCAGGTAATGATCCCAGGGTCCTGGGATGGAGTCCCACATCTGGCTCCTTGCTCAGGGGGATGTTGCTTCTCCTTCTGCCTGCCACTCCCCCTGCTCCTGCTCTCTCTCTCTCTCTCTGTGTCTCTCTGACAAATAAATAAATAAAATCTTAAAAAAAAAATATTAAGTTTGGGAGAGGAAGAAATATCATAAAACTAAAAATAATAAGTTAGAAAAAATATTTTTGGTATTTATAATAGTCAAAGAATTAGTACCCTTAATATGCAAAGTAGTCCTCCAAATCAATAAAAAGGAGCACCTCATTTTATAAAAGAACAAGTAATTCCCAAAATGGCTAAAAGAATACATATTCAACCTCCCTAATTACCACAGAGATACAAATTGTGATTTCATTTTAAATAAGTGAAGCTTTAAAACAACTACGAAATCCACTGTTGGGGTGCCTGGGTGGCTCAGTCGGTTAAGTATCTGCCTTCAGCTCAGGTCATGATCCCAGGGTCCTGGGATGGAGCCCGACGTTGGGTTCCCTGCTCAGTGGGGAGTCTGCTTCTCCCTCTCCCTCTGCCCCTCCCCCTGTTCATGCTCTCTCTTGCTCACTCCCTCTCAATAAAATCTTTAAAATAATAATGATAATAATAATAAATCCATTGTTATTGTGGGTATAGGAAAACAATTCTCAAATACAATACTTGAGGGGGAGTCTAAATTGGTGTAACCTTTTACTATGTCAATATGGATAAAAATCTTTAAAATGTCCAAGCCCATTGACTAAGTGATTTCCCTTCGAAGTATCTACTGTCACAAATTCACACAAACTTGGTCACTTAAAATAAAAATGTATTCTCTCAGTTCTCGAGGCCCTTAGTCCAAAATCAAGGTTTCAGTAGGGCCACACTCCCTCCGGGGGCTCTCAGAGAGTTCATTCCTTGCCTCTTCCAGTTTCTGGTGGCCACCAGCATTCCTTGGCCTGAGGCCACATCACTCCAACCTCTGCCTCCTCCTTCACATGGTCTTCTCTTCTGTGTGCTTCTGCTCCCTCTGCCTCTCTCCTATGAGGATACTCATGATGGCATAGAGCCCTCCTCCATATTCCACAATTATTACTCACAACTGCAAAGACCCTTTTTCCAAATAAGGTAACATTGACAGCTTCTAGGGATTTGATGTGGATATCTCTTGGGGAGCCATTTTTTCAACCCAGTTTCCAACCTAATTTTTCAATTACCACAGAAGGTCATAATAGAATAATTACCCAAGGATGTTATCGCAGCCTTATGTTTCTGAATAAGGCCACATTCTGAGGCTCCAGGTAGACGTGAATTCTGGTGGGACACTACTGAACTCACTATAGGTGAGCATCACTCCCTCTGCGGAGCCTCTCCATGTGGCTTGTGTGGCCCTTCCCATAGCATGGCAGCTTCAGCGCTGTCTGACCCTTTACAGGATTGCTGGCTCTCCCCTGAGAGAGCCTTCTAAGAAGAGAAACAGAAACTGCCAGTCCTCTTAGTGGCTAGGGCTGGAACTGGTGTAGGATTACTTCTGCTGTAATCTATCGGTCAAAGTAGGCCCAGCCCAGCCCCGCCTGAAAATACAGGAAGACATAGACTCCATCCCTCTATGAGGACTGGAATGAGCATACACAGAAGGAAGGAACTGATGGCAAACATCTTGGAAGCTAACTACCGCACAGCTCTATTCTTACTGACAGCTGAAGGTGCTCATGAGATGCAAATTAGAAAACCAATTACAAAACACCATATATATAATTTGATCTTATTTTTATTTTTAAAATATACGTGGTTATTTGCACTAAAAATGTCTCAAAAGATAAAGAGTAAGCAAAAATATTAATAATGATTATCTCTGCAAGTTAAGAATTTAGATGATTATTTTTTTCTTCCTGTTTACCAATATTTTCTAATAATGATTACATATGTGTTACTTCTATAACAAAATAGAAAGAGAAAGAAAATGATCTATGATTTTAACAGGCAAATAGTTTTTGGTGTCTTAATCAGGATATACAAATGGTAAATTTCAACAAGGCCAATCTAAATACAGATCTATCAAGGAGAAACTCAGAAAGACTCCTTTAAAAAAAAAAAAGAAAGAAAATCCTTAGTCATAGAAAGGGCAACCCAGATGGGCACCCACCTTCTTGGAGAGAAACATTTGGTGTATTCCAACCCCAAATCCTTCAGGCCCGAGCAGCTTCTGGGCTCTTAATGCTGGGTCCAGAAAGAAACAAACTTGAAGGAATTTCATTCATATCAAAGCTCATGCTAAACAGCTGCAGAAGTCTGAGTCAGCTTCTCGGGCTTCTACAATGTTGGACGTTCACTTTGCAAAAGACGGATGGATGCGAGGATTCTCAGAGAAATCAGAGACCCTTGCTCAGAGTCAGTCTTCACCCCGAGCACTACTGTAGAACCACTTACATGGCATAGGTTAAAGGATTTCCAAAGGCTCCTGCCAAATCAACTGCTTATCAACTGCTTCCCAATCCCTAAAATTTTCACCACTGTATAAGTAAGCTCAAGATTACATGACTCCGTAGATGAAGAAGGAGGAAGAGAAGATAAAGGAGGAGAAGGATGAAAAGAAGGATCAGAGATACACATAAACACAAGGTGAGAATGTAAAAACATGCACAATTAATTGGCTGGTCTCAAAACCAAGACTAGAAGAGAACAGGAAATAAGACAAATCAGATTTTTATGAAAGGGAGTGCAGAAGCCTGAGTGGGCCCCTCCATGGAAGCATTCTAGGCAGTTAGGAGACTGTCTGCATCGACTGGGTGTCTAGAGGTATCTAAGAGGCCAAGAAGTAAAGGCAAAGACACTTTGTCTCTTTGCCAATTTTTCACTGCCCTGCCCCCACACCCTTGAGCAGACACAAACCCTAGAAACCTCTGAAACTTATCTACACTCAGGAGAGTTCCATATAATCCTACCTAATGTAATCATTTCCCCTAAAGAACAGTTAGGCTCAAAGAAAAAGAAAAAATAGCTGAACTGGGAATCTTATTTTAATCCAAATAATTTTTGACTCTGAGATAAAAACAAAGACAAATTTTACTCACCGACAGTTTCTTCTGATGCAGCAGTCAAAGCTAGGAACTTTTTTGTATTTTCCATCTCCTCATTACTTTGCAAAGTTTCACTAGTTTTTGCAGACTAATAAAAGAGAAACAAGTTTAAACATGGAAAAAGAAGGCAACTATACTCATCAGTATTTTTTAAAATTCCATGGATTCCAAACTGTGTACGTACAAACAAGAAGGTTCAGGTCATTTGTACTTCTTTAATTGGGAAATCTATTAGTGTTCTTGTTCCCACAAAATTCTAGCTAATAATATTCCCAAATAGAGTTGGAATATATGTCTATCATTACATAATAATTATCTTGCTTAAATCTTCTGTAGCTTCTGTTTAATATTTCTATAACTAATGAGGAACCTAAAGGTACATCATCAAATTACAGTTTCAGACATTTCAAGATTGATGCTGTATTTTATTATGGGTCCAGTTACCATTCTTTTTTTTTTTTTTTTAAGATTTTATTTATTTTTTTGACAGAGAGAGAGGGAACACAAGCAGGGGGAGTGGGAGAGGCCGAAGCAGGCTTCCCGCTGAGCAGGGAGCCTGATGCGGGGCTGGATCCCAGGACCCTGGGACCATGACCTGAGCCAAAGGCAGATGCCTAATGACTAAGCCACCCAGGTGCCCCTCCAGTTATCATTCTTGTTTCCAAACAAGTAAAAATTTGCTTTGAGACTCAATAATAAATGATAGACTAATTTTTTCTGCTAAAATATACACAAATCATTTCTCTAGTTTAAAGCACTGCATTTTGTATGGTGCTTTCTTTCTAGCCCATGGTCTGCCTGGGAATCTTGTAAAAATGTATTCTTAATTACTTCATTATTAATTCATATTATCATCTAGGAAATTTCCTTGAAGTCAGTCAACTGATCAAGGAGGAATTTATCAAAAACAACCAATCTGTTTTTACAATACTCCTCACTTTACAAGTGCTCTCCTTTAAGAGGCAAAGTTCAAATATGAGCCAATGGCTCTACATCAAGTCAGCGCAAACATCTGGTCAACTTCCACCCCTCAATACTACAGAGAATAAAAGGTCCAAGAAGGCCAAGCAATGTTAACAGAGCACTAGAAATGTATTGAGACAGAAGCAAATAGAGTCTGGTCACAGACCACAAGCACTTTATGTCTTCTCAGAGATCAGCGTATGACCGGCATATGAAACACTGAACTCTCCACTCCCTGGTCACAAAAGTTTACTCAAATAATAATGGTCATCAGAGGGTTAAATATTTGGTATATTTATGTATTTATCTCCAAACTATAAGCTTGCTGAAGAAAAAGCCGACACACGTACTCAAACATAGGCGCCACATCACTTTCTATTCCAGAGATGGAGGAACCCCAGCCTGACACTTGGGAAGAGAGGTCTACTGAGCTGTCGTGGAAAACAAACATGCCAATGCAGTGCCTGAAATCTAGAATGCTGCTAAGTTACCTTGTCTGGTTCCCGAAAACTATCTCCCCCACCCACCCCCTCAATACGGACATATACACGCCACTGTCCTAGTTCCACAAAATAAATCAATAAAGGCAGACCACACTGATATGACCACAGTCCATGCTTTTCTTACTTATCTTAAAGGAAACTGTTTCTTCCATGTTAGCATATGGTTAAACAGTTCTTACCTTAAGTTCTTCCCACAGCTTTATTCTCATGTCTAGAACTTGCTTCTTAATTTCTTTTTCTCTATATTGTCTCTTCACCAATATCTTATCAAGCCTCTTCATCTTCTGAATGGCATCTTGAAGTTGAGAATCTAATTCTTTTAATTCAGGTTCATCTATATTGTGTTGAAAGTAGGAATGAGCTTGAAGTTTAGTACAACCATAAAGTTTTCTTTTGTGTTTACTATTTGTTCTTTCATTCAACAAATGTTTATGGCTCACAAGAATAACTAGCATTGGTGTCATGTATCTTGATTTACAAAGTGCTTCCACACGTATTTTTTCATATAATTATCTAACAACCCTGTGAAATAGACATTTATCTCTGTTTTACAGTTGAAATAACTGGGTCTTTTCTTTTTTACCCTTTTTAAAAATTTTTTAATTTAAGCATAATTGACACACAATGTTACATTAGTTTCAGGTGTACAACATAATTTAAAACTCTATAATATGCTATATGTTCACCAAAAGTACAGCTGCCATCAGTCACCATGTAATGCTATTATAATACCACTGACTGAAAAAAAAATAAAACAATACCATTGACTGTATTCCCGATGCTGTGCCCTTTATTCCCATGACTTATTAATTCCATAACTGGAAGCCTATATTTCCCACTCCCCTTCACCCATTTTGCCCATCCCCCATACCCTTTTCTTTCTGACAACTATCACTTTTTTCTCTTTATTTATAGCTCTGATTCTGCCTTTTTGTTTGTTTATTCATTTTTGTTTTTTAGATTCCACATATAAGTAAAATCATATGGTATTTGTCTTTCTCAGTCTGACTTATTTCAATTAGCATAATACCTTTTAGGTCCATCCATATTGTCACAAATGACAAGATTTCATCTTATTATGGCTGCCTAATATTCCATTGTGTGTGTGTGTGTGTGTGTGTGTGAATATATACACATTTTCTTTAACCATTTATCTATTAATGGACACTTGAGTTGCTTCCATATCTTGGCTACAAAAGATGATAATCTGTCAATGAGCATAAATGCTCATATACTAAAGTCTCAGCCACTCCAGGTTAGATCATTAGAAATGGCATATTCTGCTAAGAAAGACCAAATTTTGCAACTTTTTAAAATCCAGAGAGTACAGTGTATTTCTCTATAATGTACATCACTTTCTCTTTAAGAAAAAGGAGACATTTCCAGAAGGGAATTAGCTTATCCAAAAAGAATACTGATCTTATTAATAAGGAGGCTCTGCAAACCTTATTGCTTATTTATTTCAAATGCAACAGCCTTTAGTTCTAGCTCCTCACTGCCAATCCTAGCACTCTCAGCCTCCATATACATAGGCGGTCTATATGGCAGGAACTCATGCATGAAGGAACTCAGGCAGTTCTGAAACAGTATAAACAAGTACAGCATAAACTGGGCCAACAGCAGGGTGCCTGGGGTGGTTCAGTGGGTTGGACGTCTGAGTCTTGATTTTGACTAGGGTCATGATCTCAGAATCATGAGATCGAATCTTGGAGCTGGGCTCCACACTCAGCATGGAGTCTGCTGGTCCCTCTCCCTCTGCTGCTCCCCCACTTGCTCCCACACATGCTCTCTCACTCTCTCTCTCAAATAAATAAAATCAATGAAATCTTTAAACTGGGGCAACAGCTAATCTCAACTATAATGCCTCATTTCCTGATAACTGTGATCCTGAGGCATCTGGCCCAACTTTGAGAGCTAACCTCATCCCAAACATACTCTAAGTCAGCAGTTCTCAAAGGTTATGACCTCAGCTTCCCTTTATAGCCTTAAAAATTATTGAGAACCCAAAGTCGCTTTTGTTTATGTTACATCTATTGATAATTACCATTTTAGAAATCAAAACTTTTTAGAAAATATTTTAGAATATATTTATTCATTTAAAAATGATGTCATTAGAAATTACATATTAACATAAATATAACATTTTTATGACAAATAACTATATACTCTAAAAAATTATTAAGAAGAATGGCATTGTTTTAAATTTTTAATATCTAGCCTGATAGAAGACATCTAGATTCTCAAATCTGCTTGTACAATCTATTGCAATCTCTTGTTTCACTTAGACTATATGAAGAAAATTTGGCCTCATAAAGACATATACTTGGAAAGGGGGGGGAGAAATGTAATAACTTTCTCAGATAACTGTGGATACTCTTCTTTGATACTACATCAAAACTCGACAAGGGGTAGTTTTTTAAAGAGTAGTTGTAACGCGAAATCTGTAACCGTATCAGCGAGCTTTTTGTATTTGTTCTTTAAAATCCATGCATCTATCTTTCACACTGAATGGATCTTTTACCCTGCATTGGTTGTTTGGAAAATAGTGGTTCATTGAATTATGCAGACCTTCAAAATGTTAACACATTTAATATTTAACATTTTTTAAAATCTCATTGATTAGTACTGTCATCAAATTTTATCAGATAAGTCTAAGTATTGGAATGGCATACACAAGTTTTCCAAATTTCTAGTTTTCACGTGAAAGCCCAAATTTTATCATTGACAAAAGATACTGTCAATTATTTTCCTTGAAGTAAAAGGCTCATTTCACCTTAAAAAAAATGGCTGCCAACTACCCAAGTCTGAATGATAATAGTTTGTCTGTGAGTCATTCTTTCGCATAAGAATGGTGTTCATTAAAAAGTGGCCAGTTCAGTTCTCAACTTAAACTATCATACAAGTACTCCTCAACATAAACTTCACATTTTGGTTTACAGCAGAATTGCTTTATATACCTCCCATTTTACCTCTCAGGCAATTATAAAGATGTATATTCGAAAATCAAGATTTAATGCAATTAATAATTTTTACCGGTCCATCAAAGATGTTCTTGAATGACATTGGCTATTTCTTTCTTCTGCCAGTGCCTGGTCATGAAGAACACAGTGACTACTAGTACAATGTGATACATTGCCTTTATTCACGTGAAAGCCCTGGCAATTTTACTCACCACTGCTTCTGTACCATCATTGCAAATGTCCATTCAGTGGGCAAAAAGGCAAATAGCATTATTTCAGTATTATACTGAATTGTATTATTAATATATCAGTATTATGATGAAAGTAGTTTTTTATTTTGCAAAATTCCTATAAGCGTCTCAGCAGTCCCCCAGGGCTCTGCAGACCACATTTTGAGAAATGCTGTTCTAATTCACTCTGACCAGTATTAATTTAATAACCAGGGGAAAAAAGGAGTCGTTTAAAATCCAAAAGTTATTAAGATCAAATGGGAGGGGTGCCTTGGTGGCTCAGTCGTTAGGCATCTGCCTTCGGCTCAGGTCATGGTCCCAGGGTCCTAGGATCGAGCCCCACATCAGGCTCCCTGCTCGGCGGGAGGCCTGCTTCTCCCTCTCCCATTCCCCCTGCTTGTGTCCCCTCTCTCGCTGTCTCTCTCCCAGTCAAATAAATAAAAATTTTTTTAAAAAATCTTTAAAAAAAAAAAGATCAAATGGGATTATCCCTAAGAAGGCATTTATAAATTACAGAATACATTTTATTGCACAATTTAGTCATCAAAAAGATCGATAAATCATGTCATAAAATGCAGTAATATTTCCTATTGATTAATGTAAAATGACCACAATAACAATTTTATTAAATGACAAATTTCACATATTGTAAATAAAAACCAGTGCTCACAAAGGTATGCCTCTTAACTATTATTTCTACATAGCAGATTAAAAAACACATGTAACTCTAATATTTGAACTATAATATCTACCATTGTCATTAACCAATCACCTAGTGATTATCCTACCTGAACATTCAGGGACTGTCTGATGCTGAATGAAGTTCAGATCTTCATCTGATCCATCCTCCACCAATTCTGGTTTCTCAGAGTCCTTTTCCCCTCTGTCATCAACACTGTTTCTACTTTCCTCTGCATTACTGCTGTCTGAGTGGTTCTCTTTACCAGAGTTCAACTTGATTGCAGTATCAACCTAAATTATTTCCAAAGAAATAGTTTTCATAATTAATATATTCTTTATTTTTTTTTAAGATTTTATTTATTCATTCAAGACACGAGCAGGGGGAGAAGCAGAGGGAGAAGCAGGCTCCCCGATGAGCAGGGAGCCAGACGTGGGGCTCGATCCCAGCACCCTGGGATTATGACCAGAGCCGAAGGCAGACACTTAACCATCTGAGCCACCCAAGCACCCCAATAATATATTCTTTAAAACTTTACATTTCTAGACTAGTTGAACACTAGTGTATGTGTGTCCTCACATAGTTACATTAGTGTTCAACTAGTCTAGAAATAGAACACTTTTTAATTAAATATAATTTAACTACACAACTAAATTTAATAACATTTGCACCAAAGAGATATGCTCTATTCTCCAGCAATTTCCAGCACTATGGAGAAGGGTCAGGAATCAGTCGCAAAAGGAACCATTTTCTGCCAGCTCTGGAGATGAGGCATGATGGTGCCTGCTCCCTGAGCTTACACTCGGACGGAGAGTCAGAGGTCTAGAGCTATGCTGTCCCATTCGAGGGCCACTAGCCTCATGTGGCTATCAAAGAGTTGAAAAGCCAAGAGTCTGAACAGAGATGTGTTTCTAATGAAATTCTTCAAGTCAGAACCCTGTGCTTTGGTGATTATTTTTATGCTATTCACAGTTTTTCTATTTCATTTTGGTTTCTCTTTCTATTTTAGCAAGGCTCATTTTGAAAACACCAGTTGGGGGCAGCTGTGTTTTCCTGAGAAAACAAGAAAAGACACCCATGGCTGCGTCAGGAAAAGAAACAGGGATCGTAGTGCCCTGACAGCTGCGAGCGGCAGTGAGAGTCACAGTGGAAGCGAATACGGCCCAAGAGAGAGGCAAAACCTCAGAGAGAGAGTCAACCGCTTCTGGGAGGAACACCTTTCCCCTCCCAACGGAGGAATCCAGCCTTTGGAGGGTTTTCTGTTCTCTCTGCACCTACGTGGTCAACTCTCAGCCACGGTAATCTGTGCCCCCTTGTGAATCTCCAGGGCAGAAGGGGCTGGTGTGGAGAATTAAGCTCCAGGGACACAGGGCTGCACGCGAGCATCTCTGTTCACCTGGACTAAGACATAAGCCCCAGCAGAACTGAGTCAGTGGGATAATCCTCAGAGCCAACATTTCCTGAGGAATTAATACTGGGCAGGCTCTGTGCTAAATACTTTACACACTCTGCCTCATTCACTGCTCACAGTGACGCTATGCTATAGGCATTACTACCCTGATTTAACAAAGAAGAAAACAGAGCCAGTATAGAATGAAACCAGTGGAGGCCTAACCTATAAACAAGCAAAACAATGCCTCCTCTGTGTAATCTTGGAGGTGTTAGAGAGGATCCCCTGTTCAAAAACACACTTCTGTGAAAGGCCGGGTTAAAGCCTTCAATGCCATAATACCCAGTAAATCCTTTAGGCTACATAGTTCTGTGAAAATGCTGAAATTGCTGGCAGAGATCACATGAGCCCTGTCGGTTATTTATATCTTGGCATAAAGGAATTTGGCCGACATTCCCCAGAGAATGGTTTTTGTATAGGGGAATACAGAATATATGAAACATAACTAGATATTAGCAATACACTTGGATAATAACACACTTCAGGACACAAAAAGACCTTTCATATATATCATCCCATATGATCCTCTTAGAATGAGCAGGAAGCAATGAAGCAAAAAGATGAAACTGGAGAACAAAAGGCAAACTTTGCCCATTTTATAATTTTACCCATAGCTCCCCACTCCATTAGCACCAACCATCTTTAGTTTATTTGGAAATAAACTAAAAAGAGCTTCCAGAAATTAAAAATATATCATTAACTTTAAAAATTTGATGGAGCGGCGCATCGGTGGCTCAGTCATTAAGTGTCTGCCTTCGGCTCAGGTCATGATCCCAGGGTCCTGGGATCGAGCCCCACATCAGGTTCCCTGCTCAGTGGGGAGCCTGCTTCTCCCTCTCCCACTCCACCTGCTTGTGTTCCCTCTCTCACTATGTCTCTGTCAAATAAATAAATAAAATCTTTAAAAATAAATAAATAAATAAATAATAAAAATTCGATGGATTAGGGATGCCTGGGGGGTTCAGATGGTTGGGCATTTGCCTTCAATAACAGGTCATGATCCCAGCGTCCTGGGATCAAACCCCGCATTGGGCTTTCTGCTCATTGGGGAGCCTCCTTCTCCCTCTGCCTACCACTCCCCCTGCTTGTGTTCTCTATGTATATCAAATAAATAAATAAAATCTTTAAAAAAATAAAAAATAAAAAGACAAACATAAAAATTCAATGGATTAAAGAACGGATTTGACATAGTGTAAGAAAGAATTCAAAAATTTAAAAATATGTGTTAAAAATTCCCCAGGATGAAGCACAGAGAAAGAAATGAATAGAAAATATTAAAAAGAAGATAAGAGACATAAAGTATAGAAGAGAAAATTTCAACAGACATTTAATATGATTTTCAGGATGACTCAAGGGAAAAAAAGGAGGCAATATTAGAAACATTTGAAAAACAATGGCTGAGAATTTTTCTTTTCTTTTTTTTTTAAGATTTTATTTATTTATTTGACAGCGAGAGAGGGAGCGAGAGAGAGGGAACACAAGCAGGGGGAGTGGGAGAGGGAGAAGCAGGCTTCCCGCTGAGCAGGGAGCCCAATGTGGGGCTCGATCCCAGGACCCTGGGATCATGACCTGAGCCGAAGGCAGACGCTTAACGACTGAGCCACCCAGGCGCCCCAAGAATAACTTTAAAAAAAAAAAAACAACTAACACTATCAACTGCTGGTGAGAATGCAGAGCACCTGGAACTCTCATATTTCTCATGGGAACAGAAAACAGTTTTGCAGTTTCTTTTAGTTAAACATACACTTACCATACAATCCAGCAATCCAACTCCTAGGTATTTACCCAAGAAAAATAAAAAACTACTTCCCCCCCAAAAAATCAGTATACAAATATTAATAGCAGCTTTCTTCATAATCACCAAAACCTACAAACAATCCAAATGTTCCTTAACATGTGAATGGATAAACAAACTGTGGTACACCCACACAATGGAACACTACTCATCAGTAAAAAGGAGTGAACTATTGATATATATAACAATACAGGAGTCTCAAATGCATTGTGCCAGCAGGCAAAGCCAGACTCAAAAGCTACATACTTTTTAATTCCATTCATATGACTCTCTGGAAAAAGAAAAACAACAGGTAGAGAATAGATCAGGAGTTTCCAAGATTAAGAGTAGGGGAGATTGAAATAGCCAAACTATGGAAAGAGCCCAGATGCCCATCAACAGATGAATGGATAAAGAATGGGTGATAGATAGATAGATACATACATACATACATACATACATACATTCGTACGTACATAAACACAAACAATGGAATATTATGCAGCCATCAAAAAATGAAATCTTACCATTTGCCACAACGTGGATGGAGCTAGAGGATATTATGCTAAGCAAAGTAAGTCAATCAGAGAAAGACAATTATCATATGATTTCACTCATATGTGGAATTTAAGAAACAAAACACAGGCTCATAGGGGAAGAGAGAGAAAAATAAAATAAGATGAAATCAGAGAGGGAGACAAACAATAAGAGACTTAATCATAGGAAACAAACTGAGGGTTGCTGGGGAGGAGGTTGGTCGGGGAATGGGGTAACACGGTGATGGGCATTAAGGAGGACACGTGATGTAATGAGCACTGGGTGTTACATGCAACTGATGGCTCACTGAACTGTACCTCTGAAATTAATAATACACTATGTATAATAAGTAACACTATGTGTTAATTGAATTTAAATTAAAAAAAAGAATAGGAGAGATTGAGTAAGGACAAAGGGGTAGCATGAAGAAATTTTTGAGGGGTGATAGAACTGTCCTATATCTTTATTGTGATGGTATCACTACACATTTCCCAAACTCAGAACTGTGGAGTAAAAAGAGTAAATTTTGGGGTGCCCGGGTGGCTCAGTTGGTTAAGCGTCTGACTTTGGCTCAGGGCATGATGTCAGGGTCCTGGGCTCAAGCCCCACATTGGGCTCATCACTCAGCGGAGAGTCTGCTTGTCCCTCTGCTCCTCACCCCACTCATGCTCGTTCTCTCTCAAATAAATAAATAAAATCTTTTTTTTAAAACAGATAAATAAAAAATAAAAAAGTAATTTTACAGTATGTATATTTTTAAATTAGAAACGAGTCAATGGGGTGCCTGGGTGGCTCAGTTGGTTAAGCGACTGCCTTCGGCTCAGGTCATGATCCCGGAGTCCCTGGATCGAGTCCCGCATCAGGCTCCCTACTCAGCAGGGAGTCTGCTTCTCCCTCTGACCCTCCCCCCTCTCATGCTCTCTCTCTCTCTCTCAAATAAATAAATAAATAAATAAAATCTTTAAAAAAAAAAGAAACAAGTCAATGAGGGCAACCCTCTTGGGTCCCCTCCCTCTTTGGGAGCTCTGTACTATCACTTGATAAATGTTGCTTTGCTGCCCACCAAAAAAAAGAAAAAAGAAACAAGTCAATGAGATACAATGTTAATAAATAAGATTTAATATCATAAAGTTAGAAATTCTCTCCAAATTAATCTATAAATTCAAAGCAATTTCAGTCAAAACCCCAAGAGCAATTCTCACAAGACTTGAAAAACCAATCTAAAATACAAAAAGAACAAAAAGCCAAGACGAGCGAAGACGGTTCTAGAAAAAGAATAAGATGGGGAGATCCATCCTACCAGATATCAAAAATTATTACACAACTAACAAGAGTTAACACACAGTAATGATGCAGGATTAGATGAAACAAAACAAAGAGCTGAGCTAGACCTGGGATTTTAACAAGCCACTTATAGGTCTTGGTGCATGTTAGAATGATCAGATACATCTGCACAAGATTTAGCCTGCAGACATGAAGTAGAAGCCATCTTCCCAAGCTCCTGATAGGACGTTGGCAAGAAATACCAAAGGTAGTCACCTCTGTATGTCTAGTCACCAGTTTTGTAGTTCTGAGGGACTGGTAGCAGTGTAGAAGGCAGCTTTTTTATTTCAGTCATGGAGATGTAACCTACGAACCAACAATCCAAGGGAAGTCCCCTCCCATGATTTCCTTTCCCGCTGGCCTTCAACTGATTTTGAGAAACTGAACTTCTGGTATTCAATCCCTGTCTGCTGGAAATGCCCAGAGTGCTTTCTATTTCCTGCACTAAATCATAACAAACACTCTAAACATAGAGTCTAGTCCAGAAATCAAAAGAATAAATGAGTATGGATTCATAAGCTTGAAAAGATTTTTTCACCATAAGGTTTCAAATTTTTGTTTGCCACAAGCTTAAAACAAATAGTCCCATACCGCTGATGAAAAAACTGATTTCTGGGGCACCTGGATGGCACAGTTGGTTAAGCATCTGACTCTTGGTTTCAGCTCAGGGTCGTGAGATCGAGCCCAGCATCTGGCTGCTACACTGAGCGGGGAGTCTGCTTGAGATTCCCTCTCCTTCATCCTCTGCCCCTCCTGCTAGTGTGCGCTCTCTCTCTCTCTCTCAAATAAATAAATTAGTATTTTTTAAAACAACTGATTCCTTAAAAAACATCAAGTTTAGATAATTTAGAAAAAGAAATAGAGACTACTAAAGAAAAGAAAAGGAAGTCAGGCCAGGTAAGGTACCTACTAAATATGTACTACATGGTCTTTGACCCAAACTTTATTTTTAAAATTACTGAACCTTTTTCATATTAAGAGTCAGTGGGGGCGCCTGGGTGGCTCAGTTGGTTGAGCGACTGCCTTCGGCTCGGGTCACGATCCTGGAGTCCCGGGATCGAGTCCCGCGTCGGGCTCCCTGCTCAGTGGGGAGTCTGCTTCTCCCTCTGACCCTCTTCCCTCTCGTGCTCTCTATCTCTCATTCTCTCTCTCTCAAATAAATAAATAAAATCTTTAAGAAAAAAAAAGAGTCAATGGCGGCATAGTAGATATTGGAATACAAAGATTTTTTATGAAAAAGAAAAATTTACAAATGAGCATTAGCGAAGTACAACTGTGAGCAAATAAGCCATACTCCAAAAACAAAAACAAAAACAAAAGAGGGAGGGAGAGAAGGAGGTAAAGAAGGACACAGAATTTTCATATTAAATGATCTAAAGTAAAATACAAGAAGAAATCTATGAGTGCTCCCAGAACATATCCTCTAAAGAGGATCCCTTAAGTGGGATGTTAACAACAGCTTTGGTTTACCAAGTGCTAGAGTTCAGGAGAAGGACTTGAAGTCATTTCTAAACAGCAAAAGTACCTTGAAGGATGCTGGTTCCGGTGAGAGCACCTCCAAAGAAGTACTTGGACCTATGCTCCCGGGACGTGTTCTTGAATTTGAGGCTGGTTTTGAAATTCCATCTAAGTTTCCCTTTATAATATCCATTGATATCCTGAAACAAAGAAGAAATTAAAGCAAGTTATGACCTGTATACATGTGTCATTAGAGTTAATGCGCAATCAACCCAGAATCTTTGTTAAATAAGGATTATATTGCCACCAAAGTCACACCACCCTAATTTCACCAAAAGACGTCTGTGTCCAGGGATTTTATGTACTACAGGTGGAAAACATTCTGACCAGGATGTTAGATTCGGAAAGGGGTTAAAAAAGAATGCAGAGTGACTGCTATCTCAGGGGCTTCCTGTGCCTCCAAAAGAAACATTTACTGCGTCCTTGGCCGTGGAGCACCAAGCCTCTCAACCCAGATTCACTGCATTGTAATGATGTGTAAGGCCTCCCCTTTCTCCGGGTTTTGCCTTCCTTATTCTATCTGGCACTTCTATTCTAGCTCAGCTTTCAGCTCTGACTTCTCCTCTCCTCCTCGGTACCACATTTTCATGGAGTACCCATCTCCTGGTCACCGCTCTTTTTCTATCAATCCCCCACTTTTAAAACCCATGATTCTACTTCACCCTCAGAAACAAGAGAACAAGGGGCGCCTGGGAGGCTCAGTTGGTTAAGCGTCTGCCTTCGGCTCAGGTCATGATCCCGGGGGGCTCCCTGCTCGGTGGGGAGCCTGCTTCTCCCTCTCCCTCTGCTGCTCCCCCTGCTTGTGCTCTCTGTCAAATAAATAAATAAAATCTTTAAAAAAAGAAAGAAACAAACAAACAAGAAAACAAAACCTACTTTCTCTGCTAGAGGACACACCCTTACTATCTGGCCCCAAATTGCCAATTTCTATTTTTCATGTGACACCATCCACAGGCCTGTCACCCCTCTGGCTCCCTATTCCCAGTGCTGTTTTCTGAAGCAAGGATTATTAGGCAGGATGGTTTAAACTAGTGGAGAACTTGGGCACTGCAGGCACCTTGATCCTTCCAAACTGTGCCCTTGATCAGGACCATTCCAGATCTGCTCAGTAATGCTGGGGTATCATGCATGCTGAGAAAAATGGAAGAAATAGGGAGAATTCCAGATTTTGCCTTCTCATACTTAGCTTTACGTGTAAATGGATCTTCCAACAATCCTTCCCTAAATTTCATAATTGCCCTAAATTTCTATTAATTATGAATTAAACCATTTGTCTCATAGCAGAAAGAGGAAAAACAATTGCCTCTGGCCCCAGTGAGTGTAAACAATGTCCTTTTTTTACCCTACAAAATGACTCATCTTTCTTTCTTTTTTTGAAAGCAGAGGCAGAGTCCAAGGAAGTTTTGGATACAGGAGGAAGCACGAACATCCCTCCAAGGCACACAGAGGGATAATATGATTTGGCCTCCAACCATTCAGTGTGCCAAAGCTGATGCTTAAGGGACCAGTAGGTCAACTCTTTCCATCTTAGCAAATGAAAAAGGCATTGATCTCAACATTATTCAAACTCTGCAAAAGCATTCGGGCTCACTCAGGAAGGCGCTGACATTATTATTGTGGGATGACGGATCACCGCGGCCCATCACGTCACAATCAAAAAGCATAAGTCACCAAAAGGCCAAAAGTCTTGTAAATGCCGTGAGCAGCCTGTCAAGGGAGACTTATAGCTTACAGAGGGAGCAATGAGATGGAAGCATTTGCAGAGCCGGGATAATACTTGTCAGTAAAGGGAGAAGAAGCACAGAGGACCATCAATGACATGGATCATCTAAAAGGCTCCAGAAATCTTTCAGTTCGCTTTAGAAATAGGTCTCTTCTATTACATTTGTTCCTGAAAATAATAAATTAAATAAAATGCAGTTCCCGGGCTGGGTGGGGATATAACCGACAATCTTATGATTTTGCCTAAGTAGAAAAAAGTAATAGGTAAGGGGCATTGAATTAGGATCTTACAGATGTATTTTCAATGTTTAAGAAAAAGTCTCAATAGCCACATAGAAATTCCACAAGAAAAATAAAGCACGGTCAAAGAAAGTAATCAAATGATAATTAAATACTTATAATGACAGAAGCACTAAATGATTTAACCAAATACTGTGCCTTACCTGTATTGAGTGTATCTGGGCAGGAGTTGGTAAAAGGAGAGGTAGTATAAAATATCTAATCTGTCCTAATAGGAAATCAAAGAGAATGCCCAAAAACTGATAAAGCCAAAAAATAAGCATTGTATTTACGAGTTCAGGATGGTTGCCTCTGGAGAGTGAGACTAGGAATTGCTTCTCTTTTCTTCTATTGTGAATGTTATAGTAGAGTGCGACATTTTTTATTATACTACTTTAATAAAAGTAAAAACTAATTTTTAAAAAAATAAATGTAAAATAAGAAATCTCCAAGGACTGAAATGAAATATAAAGATAATTTACGTAGTAAGTGAATGACTTACTAAAGATAACACCAAGAGCATAAATCAAAAAGGAAGAGACTAACAGATTTGATCACATAACATTTAATGCTCTTGAATGTCAAAAAACAAACACAAAGAACTCTAAGTTAAACTAAAAGGCACCTGAGAATCTAGGGGAAATATATGCAACACAAAAGGTTATATGATACACAAAGGGTTAATGAATTTACATATTTAAGGAAATCTTACCAATCTATAAGAAAAGAAACATTCCAATAGAAAACTGGCTAAGGGCATAAACAAGGAATTCACACAGAGGAATTCACTCCTCCCCACATACACTCAATATAGTTATGGCATAGTATTTGGTTAAATTAACATTTAGTGCTTCTGGGGCGCCTGGGTGGCTCAGTTGGTTAAGCGACTGCCTTCGGCTCGGGTCATGATCCTGGAGTCCCGGGATTGAGTCCCACGTCGGGCTCCCTGCTCAGCGGGGAGTCTGCTTCTCCCTCTGACCCTCTTCCCTCTCGTGCTCTCTATCTCTCATTCTCTCTCTCTCAAATAAATAAATAAAATCTTTAAAAAAAAAAAAACATTTAGTGCTTCTGTCATTATAAGTATTTAATTATCATTTGATTACTTTCCTTGACAATGTTTTATTTTTCTTGTGGAATTTCTATGTGGCTATTGAGATTTCTTCTTAAATATTGAAAATATGTCAATAAGATCCTAATTCAATGCCCCTTATCCATTACTTTTTTCTATATAGGCAAAGAAAGGAAGAAAGGGGGGGGAGGGAGAGGAGATGGAAGGAAAGAAAGAAAATATCCAAAAAAAGGAAAAGAAAGAAAATATCTTGCTAAATGTCGATATCTTGCTAAAAAAAAAAAAAAAAAAAAAGAGTTCAATTCTCTAAAGAAATATACACAAAGGGACCTGAAAGATGATAACAAACCAGAGAAGAAACAGAGGTGGGTTCTTCTGGATTGGTGGGTTCATGGCTGTTCTTGGTTTTTTCTTTTTTTGAAAGATTTTATTTATTTATTTGATATATACATAGAGAGAGAGAGAGAGAGAGCACAAGCAGGGGGAGCAGCAGAGGGACAAAGAGAAGCAATCTCCCTGCTGAGCAGGGAGCCCAGTGTAAGGCTTGATCCCATGACCCTGAGATCATGACCTGAGCTGAAGGCAGACGCTTAACCAACCGAGTCACCCCTGTTCTTGGTCTTTTATTTTATCTTTTGCTTATATGTATTTTCTGATTTTCTAATAAGTATATCTTGAATTCATAATTTATTTATTGTAGGAAAATGTCTAGAATATATTAAAGTGTATTCAAAAATAAATAAAAATCACCCAATATTCACCACGCTGAGCTAAACACCATTGGCATATTTCTTTTTTTTTTTAAGATTTTATTTATTTATTTGAGAGAGAACGAGAGTGAAAGAGAGAGCATGAGTGGGGTGAAGGGCAGAAGGAGAAGCAGACTCCCTGCTGAGCAGGGAGCCCGATGTGGGGCTCAATCCCAGGACTCTGGGATCATGACCTGAGCTGAAGACAGTCACTTAATCAACTGAGCCCCCCAGGCACCCCTCTTTGGCATATTTCTTATCCATTTTTGCTCTGTGTGTTTCCACCAAAATTGGACTCATATATTTCTCACTTAACATCACATGATGAAGCATTTTCTTATTGCATTAAAAGTATTTCAAAAATAAAATATTATTGGGCACCTGGGTGGCTGTCATTAAGTGTCTGCCTTGGGCTCAGGTCATGATCCCAGGGTCCTGGGATCGAGTCCCACATTGGGCTCCCTGCTCAGCAGGAAGCCTGCTTCTCCCAGGCCCACTCCCCCTGCTTGTGTTCCCTCTCTCGCTATTTCTTTCTCTGTCAAATAAATAAATAAAATCTTTAATAAATAAATAATTATTTATTTCATGATATTCCATTAAGCAGGTGATATATATGACCAGATTCTAAATTGTAACAAATCATTACTAACACTTATCAACTTTTTATAACATTCATTTCAAACAAGATTAATTTAAACTTTTTCAGGGGCACCTGGGTGGCTCAGTCGGTTAAGCATCTGCCTTCGGCTCAGGTCATGATCCCGGGGTCCTGGGATCGAGTCCCACAGCCAGGTCCTTGCTCAGCGGGGAACCTGCTTCTCCCTCTGCCACTCCCCCTGCTTATGCTTTCTCTTGCGCGCTCTCTGTCAAATACATAAAAATCTTTAAAAAATAAACTTTTTCATACAGGCTTATAAGAAATGCAATCACCACAGATCATTTGAAACCAAAATAGGGACACACGGCTGCCATAATTTGGTATTTTTGGATGAAAGGAAGAATTGAAAGAAAATGAATCCTCCTCTGTTTAGTAATAATAAATAGCCAACCTTTTAAAAAAATGGAATCATATTTATTTTCATGGTTTTAATGTCTAAAAGTTATTTTGTTAGTTTTTTTACTTTATATATTTATTATGTAAGAAATACTTGCCCATGAGAAGCAAAAAGTCAAATAATATAGAAGAATGTAAAACTTCTTAAAGTCAAAATTTCCAGCGTGCCTGGGTGCCTTAGTCGGTTGAGTGTTGGACTCTTGGTTTTGGCTCAGGTCATGATTTCATGGTCAGGGGATGAGCCCCAAGTCGGGCTCCCC